ATTACTTTTCCGTTGTCCATTTACGACAGGCTGGGTTGCACCATCTTACTTTAACTTTGACAAACGTCAAAAATCTGTCAAACTCTATACAAAAAACACCGGTTATCGTTAAAGTTACGGCCAAAGTTAGATGGTGCAACTCAGCCTAAGAGTGTTCGAGTATTTTTCCTTGATCTTAGTTACTGATTGCTTCTAGAATATTATGTTAACATTATGTATCGAAAATAGACGAAACATTTAACCTCTTATAAAAGCTAAAATAAAGCAAGTGAAGTGTGAGCCATAAATATTAATATCGCACTCAAACGGTTACAGACAGTTATTAATGCCACGAGAGGCACTATCGAATCGCTATGTATCTTACGGATGATGGGACATAAATTGAAATACACACAAGCATCTTCGGCAGTTGTACTAATATACCATATTATTGCAAGAAATATGAATGATTTTATTGATCTCTACACTGTATAATTTACGTTTTTTTCTTCTTTTGCAATAAAATTTATAGGTATTATACCTGTCTATAAATCCTACAGCTAATATTATAAAATGCAAATCTTTGTGTTTGTTACTCTTTCACGCGTATTATTGCGATTTTATCGTGACCTTGGCTAGGAATAGAAATTGCCAAATAGCTATCATATTTTGAATCATGATTTCATCTTATGGTAGGTGGTATTAAATTCAAGCTAAGGATTAAAAACAATTAAAGGATTTACGATCTAAAGGGGATTAACAAATACAATACAGAAATATGACTCGGTAGGTTTTATAAAACGTTAGCTTAATGCATATTCCTTCACAGATGCATTCAAAATGGGCACCTTATGAAAATTCACTTGCATCGAACATCGCTCACGGACAATGGACGGCTGAGAAGTGTGCACTACGCTTTATTGCTGAGTAAGCACCTACGTGACTTCATATTGGACGCCTTGTCGAAATAAATTCTTGCATATTATTAAAAATGCGATAGTAATTTCATAATTAAGCCACTGAACCGATTTAGATTTGATTTGAAGCCCAAAAGTAAACATAGTTTTTGAAATGGCCACGTGAGATTGAGGTCTTTCTACAGGGTGTTAGGTAAATGGGTATATGAGCCGACACTAGCCCATGTTAAATGGATGGTGCATATAAATGGTATGGTGAAGTCAGAAAATTTATATCATAATTTTAATCATTTTAATTTTCATACAAATCTGATTTTATAAATTTTATTTTGTATGAACATTTCAAAAATTAAAATGATGATATCAAATTTCTGACTTCACCATACCATTTATATGCATTTGTTAACATGAGTTATCGTCGGCTCATATATCCATTTACCTAACTATTTATCTGTCTATTATAGAAAGATTGGGATTTATATTATAGAAGGGATTGATGGTAATCAATCCTTAATTTTTAAGTGACCCCTATGGTAATATACAGGATGTTAGGTAAATGGGTATATGAGCCGACACTAGCCCATGTTAACATGGGCATATAAATGGTATGGTGAAGTCAGAAATTTGATATCATCATTTTTTTTTATTTTTTTTTCATACAAAATATTTTTTATAAAATCCGAATTGTATGAAAATTAAAATAATTAAAATGAAGATATCAATTTTCTGACTTCACCATACCATTTATATGACTATGTTAACATGGGCTAGTGTCGGCTCATATACCCATTTACCTAACACCCTGTATAACAGGAATTTTGTTTTCATAGGGGTCACTTAAAACTTAGGGATTGAGGGTGAAAACGGGCATTAAATTCTCACGGACAAAATTAAATCCCCGAGCAACAGCTAGTAATTTAAGATAAATAAATATTATGAATATTTTTAAGAACTTGATAGTTAATAAGACTAAGTATCTCTTACAAACGTTTAAGTTCTTTATACTTTATTGTAAAGAACAAAATTCATTTCGTATTATTTTTATACTACATTAATGCGAAGTAATCCGATAAGACTTAAAATTATTTAAAAATGTCTCGCAAAAACATTTTAATTACAAAGCTTAAAGCCGAGAGCTTTCTAGCCGTTAGTGTACAGGCGCTGAAACTCATTTCAACGTTTCTCTTTTAAAATACGCGTGTATTTTTGTTTTTAATAAAATTATGTTAATAACATGATTTTTTACAAGAGTTTTACCATATAGGGGAGAGTTCGGTATATTGTACCGCCGGGTAAATTGTACCACCCTCATATTTCGTAAAGTATTTATTGAATGTCTGTAATTGCAACACTCAGCGATACACAACTAAAATCAATTAATATCGGCCATGTGGTTTTTGCCGTGACAACAAACACGTGTGTTTTATTTTGAAAAGTACTTTTTCATTGTTTTCAAGTAACTTTTGACAATACATGTTTAGTTTGTAATTTTGTTAAATTTAATTACAGGGTGTTTCTAATATATTATTTAGAAGCGTAAATTAGTGTGGATTACAATTATTTGAAACATTTTTCGGTATTTATAAGCTATATTTTTTACCAATTTTTTAAAAGCACTATCACCTAGTCGGCTAAATTGTACCACATCAAGTTGTATGGAACTTTACCAAAGGATTTTGAAATTTTTTTTTAGTAAATCATATTTTGAAGTTATAATAGCTTAGTTATGTTTGACTAACAATAAATGAAAGCAAAAGACTGGCAAAGTAAATTAGGTACAAGTGTGCGTTACGATAATTGGAATTACAAAACTTGTACTCAAAATCGTGATAACGTGTAAAACAATATCGATTGTCTATGTTATTAACTACTGTTCCTTTTCGTTTCCTAATTTGTTAAGAATTTATCGTATAATATTTTGCCATAGTTTTTTTATAGGCTTGAAATTTATTGAAATCCAATTTAGTAACCCTGTGGTACAAATTATCGAACCGGTTGGCTAAATTGGACCGAAGCTCTGAACTCGTACTTTGTTGATTTGTGCTAAATATACAACAATCATATTAATTAATACTTATGAAATAGTAAGTTGAATAATGTATCTTGTNTATCTTGCTAAAAAGTTGATAAATTTGCAAAAATGCATTGTATAATTACCATGTTTCATTGCGCTACCGTTATCCACATTTTTTTTTCTAAGTCCGAGCTTTACCTGAGAACCAAGTGACGTACACTAATCTTGGGAGCCGCGCGGGTCAGCTTATATGAAAATTATTGAAGAAATGCTGTCCATCGGCTCAATACAGAGGTTTAAACATAGGTCTGACTCGCGGTCATCATTGTCCGACGCGGCCCGAACGGAAAGTTAAAGTGTCGCCCATCATTGTCCCCCATGGCCCGAACGGAACAGTGCCATTTTTAGGCTGGCAGCGAAGGTGTTAACTTTCCCATAAAATTAGTTTTATACATATAAATATAAAAAAACATGTGTTCGCCTGCCTGGACACAGAAAATTTACTGTTTCGGCGAAATACCCGAATATTTATGAATCTTTCTTGTAATAAAGACTGAGTTTCTTGCGCTGCTTCTTCAGCACTGGCCCATATTACTGTCCTGAAACAGTGGTAGGCTTGGGACGTGTAAAAGTGCTCTTTGGGAGCCTACTGCAAAAATTAACGATTTGATTTGAAATAACTATTCTTTAACCCTCCGTGTACGAGGTGACTAAAAGTTACGTCCCGTACCAGGTGGGGTATGACACACCCCAATATACAAAGTGATAAAATTTTCATTCAACATTTTTTTAGGTGGAATTTAATATTTAATATTGATTATTTACGTATGCTAATTAGGTTTAAGAAATTCTCTGAGCTGAAAATATGTATTATAACATTTTTATCATAAAAAAACAAAAAGACACAATTTCCGTTGTTCTTGTAATTTAGAAATCAGTTTCCTATGTATAATTTTTAATTAGTGCCTTAAATTATGACAATCGTTTTTATTTAACAAAGTACAAGTATTTACTTATTAATTAATGAATTAGTAATCTAGTTGTAGTTAGGTCTGTAGTGGCGAGGGCCTGGTAATCGGTTAGACAGGGTGTCTTAGGCACCCTAGTACTCCGTGTGCAGTTTTGGGTCTGCCATCGGACGCGTCCCCAGGTTGCGGATAGGGGAAGGCCCCCCAGTGGGGGGTACCGGTTACCGGCGCGGACAGAAACCCAACGCGCGGCAGGCCTCGTCAACTCGGCGGGTCTGTTGGGCAACCCGTAACCCACAATTGAGTGGGCCGGGGACCTTAGGGATTTTTTTTNACCGGTGGCGGGCGCACTCTTGCGAGCGGCCTTGGTGGCCAGCTGCTTCCTCGGGGCTTTACCACCGGTCGACTTACGAGCGGTCTGCTTGGTACGGGCCATTGTACGTAAACGTAAAACAACTTTTCACAAATGCAAATTTTACAAGAGAGCGGAGCGGCGCGTCGTTCGACGTACGATCCTATAATAAAACATATACGCGCGCGCCACGCCGTATTTATAGCCGACGATGTATACGCCTCTCTTTCTCACTGCGTGCGCGCTCTCTCTCTCGCTCGCACGTTTTTTTTTTTTTTTTTTTTTTTTCANTTTTTTTTCCCGGGTCGCGATGCAGGGGACATCTTTAAAAACCCCCACAGGAGGGGGCCGGGGCGTTTGCTCGGGCCCATTCTTTGGAGGGCCGCTCTCGGTACTACTCTGATTAGCAGAGCTGACTGAGCAGTGGCATAGAGCAGACCGTAACCCGCTGCTGCGGGCCGGGTGTCCTGTTCTACCAGGGCCACGAGGAGAAAACCTCTATAAAAATCAACTGCGCGGCAGGACTTCGTCAACTCGGCGGACCTGCCGGGCAACCCGTAAGTCACAACTGAGTGGGCCGGGGACCGTCGGGGCATTTGCCCGGGTCGCGACAAGGAAAAGTCTATAACACCCTCGATCCCGAAGCTTTGGAGGGGGGTGAAGGGATACTGGGTCCAATAATGGTCCTGGTATAGTCGGCGGAGTATCGTCGGCTGCTACCCCTTGCAGGTGGACCGACGGGGCAGCTGTGCCCGTAAGCAGCAAAAGATATGGCAAGTGACAAGACATTGTATAATACCCGGGCGGGTCCCAGCGATGCTGGGGAATCCCGTGGCCGCTCACCAAGCGGTCGGTCCTACGTATACGGGGGGACCATCACTGCCTCGCGGCTTCGGCCGCGCAATAACGACTTAGGCGAACGACTAACGGACTCTGATTTGCTAGACGACTTGGACGGTGGTGTGAACGATGGCAAGGGCGGTGGTGCCGCCGGCATAGCCAGGGAGAAGAGTGCAGATGCCGTGGCGGAGAATGCGGAGCTCCTCACGTGCTCTGGAGAAGCCCAGAGCGTTGGTATGGAGGACTCCGACACTGAGGGGAATGCGACGGATATGTCGTTTGATTCGGTTGCAAGCAGGACATCGCGATCCGTCTCGCGTGCCGGCACGCGCACGGGTTCACGAACCTCAGAGAGGCTGCATGCCGTGAAACGGGCACGGGCAAGAAACGGTGACTCGGATGAGGCATTGGGGAGCGCAAGCTCTGGCTCACCAGCTAGAGACCTTAAAGCGCCCTCCGTTAAGCGAGGTCGCGGCAGATCCGTGACAACGGGAGTACGGGCTGAGCGAGCTCTCAAAAAGCAGACGGAAGCACAAGAGCGCAAAACCCTGGCGGGACTAGAGGCTGACGAGCACGCTGAGATCTGGACCAAGAAACTGCTCCAGATGCGTGCTCGTGTTGAATATGCGGCGCGGGAACGCACGACAGCAGAGCTACTGGAGTACATCCGCTCCAGCACAGATGCAGTCGTTGCGGCATATAAAAAGTGCCCGAATATTTCGGAGACGGTTCAGCGAGCATTCAAGGAGTCCTCAGTGAACATCGCTGGGGCCATCTCGGTTCTCCTTGATCGCTCGCCATCGGAAGAGGTGCAGCGGCTGACAGCCGCCAACAAGAAGCTGGAACGGGAGCTGGGGGACCTGAAGAAAGAGTTCCAGGCGCTGAAGGAGTTCAACAGTAAGGTTACTCCCCCTTCCGTTCCCCCCCCGGCTCAGTCTCAACAGCCTGACCCAGAGGAGTACGCGCGGAACGTCATGATCCAGGTGGGGAACATGGTCAACGCACGAATAGAGGCGCTTGAGCCCAGACTTCTACCTGAGGAGCGCCTCCGACCCCCGCTGGCTGCGGATCGGCGCAGGAGAAGCGCGGAGATAGAGGTGGAATTCCCACCTCTCCCTCCTTCAAAGAGTGTGGCAACGTCCAAACCCGCGGCACCCGGGCCTTCGGAAAAACCTGAGAAGCCGGCCAAGCAGCATACGGCTGACAGGTCCCAGACTGCCCCGACGCCTGCAGCAAAGAAAGAGGCCAACCCTGTCTCGACTACTAGGAGAAACAAAAAGAAGAAAGGAGCCAGGCGCGCCCCTACTCCTGGGCCGCTCCCCGCTCGCGAGCCCCGCTCACTCCCGCCCCCACCCGCAACCATGGAGGAAGGTTGGTCGACGGTGGTTAGGCGTGGAGGCGGAAAAACTCGTAAGCAGGCGAACAGGGAAAATAACGCAACCCAACTAACTGGTTTCAAGGCAGCCTCTAAGGCGTCTCCTGACCTTCACCCACCTCGCTCCGCTGCAATTGTTCTCACCCTGCAGCCAGGCGCTAAGGAAAGAGGTGTTAAATATGAAGACTTAATCCGGGAAGCGAAATCCCGGATCAACATCGAAGAGCTTGGTATCGTCACCGGGCTCCGTTTCCGAAAGGCCAAAACCGGGGGCAAGTTATTAGAGATCCCCGGTGCCACTAGCGGCGACAGGGCGGACGCCCTCGCAACCAAGCTTCGCGAGGTACTCCCAGAAGAAGATGTGCGGGTTTCCAGGCCAGTGAAAACTGTAGAAGTCCGAATTACTGGCTTAGACGACTCCGTCACAGGTGAAGAGCTTGCGGTAGCGGTTGCCAAGGCTGGCAATTGCGCCATTGAGGGTGTCCGCGTCGGCCCAATTAGAGAAAGCTTCCTCGGGAGTGGGTCAGCGACTGTTCGGGTGCCTGTGGAGGTAGCCAAACAGCTTGCGAAAGGGCGGCTCCTAGTGGGTTGGGTGTCTGCTCAAGTCAGGGTTCTGACGTCTAAACCGCAGCGGTGCTACCGCTGCCTTGTGGAAGGGCACGTCGCTGCCCAATGTCCGTCGGAGGTGGACCGCAGTGAGCTCTGTTTCCGCTGCGGACAACCTGGGCACAAGAGCCGGGACTGCACTGCGCCTCCGCACTGTCCATTGTGCGCAAGCGCAGGTAGACCTGCAGAACACAGGGTGGGAAACAAAAGCTGCAACCCACCTAAAGTCCAAGGGAGGACGGGCAGGCAGGGGGCTGATGGAACACCCACCGCCACGCCCAAGCCCCAGCAGCGGGGCAGGACTGAGGTGATGGACACAACCACTGGGTAAAGATGAACATCAAGGTCTTGCAGGCGAATATCAACCATTCCACTGCTGCACAAGATCTTCTCATGCAGCACATAGTGGAGTGGTCGATAGACGTGGCGGTAGTGTCTGAGCCCTATTATGTCCTGCCCAATAGAGACAGTTGGGCAGCAGACTCCCAACAGCTGGTGGCCTTGATTGGGGCAGGCGCGCACAAACCCAGTACGGTCGCCAGGGGCGATGGCTTTGTACTTGCCAGGTGTGGGGGATTGCTGGTGGCGGGAGTGTACTCCCCCCCCAGTAGATCGGTCGCTGAGTTTGAGTCCAGCCTGGACAGGCTGGGATCTCACATTCGAGGGCTCGCACTCCCTACACTCGTGGCGGGAGATTTCAACGCCAAAGCCACAGATTGGGGTGCAAGGGTGACGGATGCTCGAGGAGCTATCTTACGCAGCTGGGCGGCCGTCCTGGGGTTGGTGTTACTCAACTCCGGGACGGAAGCCACGTGCGTGCGACCACAGGGCGAGTCCATAGTGGACGTTTCGTTTGCTAGTCCTGCTGTCGCACGCCGCGTGGCCGATTGGCGAGTACGGACCGAGGCAGAGTCCCTGTCTGATCACAGGTACATTACCTTTGAAGTTTCTGCCTACGGTACCGGGATGACAACACAGCAGTCGAGGGTTGGCCCCTCGCCATTTCCACGGTGGAAACTTGCAAGCCTTGACAGGGATATGCTGATTGAGGCGGCCCTTGTCAAGGATTGGGAGCCTGCGGGTAGCGAGCCACTAAACGTAGAGCGAGAGACGGAGTGGGTCCGGAAAGCCATGGTCGACATTTGTGACAGCGCAATGCCCCGGGTAGGACCCGTGCCTCCCAAACGGCAGGTATACTGGTGGACGGAGGAGATCGCCGAGCTGCGCAGGGCTGCGATTGCAGCCCAGCGCGAATCCACCCGCCACCGGCGTAGACGGCTACGCGACCCAGCGCGCGACGGCCCCTTGTACGAGACATACAAACAGGCCAAGAAGGCCCTCCGTGTGGCGATCGCTCAGGCTAAGTCCAGGGCCCGGGAGGAGATGCTGGAGACGCTCAACCGAGACCCGTGGGGTCGCCCTTACCGGTCTGCGAGGGGCAAACTCCGCCCATGGGCACCGCCGATCACAGATACTATGGAGCCCGCGCTGCTGGGCACAGTGATGACCTCCCTGTTCCCGGTGCAGGCGGAGTTCTCCCCACCGGCCATGCGGACTCATCCAGAGGCATCAACAGAGCCCCCCCCGCCCGTGTCAGAGGGCGAGTTTGGTGCTGCCATACTCCGACTGCGCGCCAAGAAGGTGGCACCGGGACCGGACGGGGTGCCTGGAAGGGTGTGGGTAATGACGGCAGAGATCTTGGGCGAGCGAGTGAGGCGTCTGTTTAGCAACTGCCTCAGCCAGGGCAAATTTCCCTCGCTCTGGAAGACTGGCAGGCTTGTCCTCCTCCCGAAGCCAGGACGGCCAGCGGACTCCCCTTCTGGATACCGCCCTATTGTACTGCTGGACGAGGGTGGGAAGCTCTTGGAGAGGGTGATTCATGCCCGCCTGGTCCGGCACCTTGAGAGCGTTGGACCGAACCTCTCGGCCCAACAATTTGGGTTCCGGGCCGAGCGGTCAACAATAGACGCCATACTTCGAGTAAAGGAGCTGGCGACGAAGGAGGTGGCCCGGGGTGGGGTGTTATTGGCAGTGTCGTTAGATATAGCTAACGCCTTCAACACCCTACCATGGGCCTGCATTAGGCAAGCCCTTAAACACCACGGGGTGCCTACTTATCTCCAGGCGGTTATTGCTGACTACCTGTCGGGCCGAGAGGTGGTTTGTGTGGGGCGGCAGGGCTTCCTCCGTCACCAGGTATCGTGCGGTGTTCCACAGGGATCAGTCCTTGGACCACTCCTGTGGAACATCGGTTTCGACTGGGTCCTCCGCGGGCGACTCATCACTGGGGTCGGCGTAACATGTTACGCTGACGACACCCTGGTGACAGCCCGCGGATGTGACTACGGAGAGGCGTCTCGCCGTGCCACAGCTGGTGTGGCGACAGTGGTCCGGCGGATGCGCGAGCTAGGCCTAAGAGTGGCGCTTGAAAAGTCGGAGGCTATGTGCTTTTACAGGGCTCGGCAAGCGCCACCGGAGGGGGCTCACATCATTGTAAGTGGCGTCCGAATCATGGTGGGTCGTACCATGCGGTACCTTGGCCTAACCCTCGACAGTCGATGGAAGTTTGAAACCCACTTCAAACTTTTGGCACCGAAGTTGTTGGCCACCGCGGGGGCCCTCAGCCGCCTGCTCCCAAATATAGGGGGGCCGAAAAACGCATGTCGGCGGCTTTATACGGGCGTCGTGCGCTCCATGGCCCTATATGGGGCCCCGGTGTGGTATGACGCCCTAGAAGGGGTTAATACCAGACAGATCCTTGCAGTCCAGCGGGTGATGGCCGCGAGGGTTATACGTGGGTACCGCACCGTGGCTACTGAGGCAGCCATCGCATTGGCTGGAACTTTACCCTGGGACCTCGACTCTCTGGTCCTTGCTGCGGTTTATCAGTGGCGGGGAGACCAAAGGGCCCAGGGCCAACGTCCAGCGCTCAGGGAGATCGAGGCAGAGAGAGACAGACACGTGGAGGTAGCCATGGAGGCTTGGGGGCACCGTTTGGCCCGATGCGCTGCTGGCCGCCGCACTTTAAGCGCCATCCAGCCCGTGCTAGATGAGTGGGTGCTACGCCAGCACGGTCGTCTAACGTACCGGACGACTCAAATATTTACGGGCCACGGCTGTTTCGGGGACTATCTCCACCGGATAGGTCGGGAGCTCGACGCCAGGTGTTGGCACTGCGATGCTGCGACGGACTCCGCACAGCACACCTTGGAGGTGTGCCCAGCGTGGGATGCTGAGCGGGAGTCCCTCGTAGCCGCAGTGGGAGACGACCTCTCTCTGCAGGCCGTAGTGGCCCGCATGGTGGGGAGTAAGGAAGTATGGCAGGCGATGCTCTCCTTCTGCGAGGCAGTTATCTCGCAGAAGGAAGCGGCGGAGAGGGAGCGAGAGGCTTCGGCTGATGCCCCTATGATCCGCCGCCGTCGTCCAGGGCGACGCAGGAGGGTTTACAACCTACACGCTCCTCCTTAGGAGTCTCGACCGCTGGGTATGGGGATGCCCGGCGGGCGCCTTACGAGACCCGTGGCGCCGGCGCACCAGTGTCCAGTGCGCCGTTAGCGGACGACCCGAGGGGAATCACTATTCCCCTCGAAGCTGGAGGGGCTCGCCCAAAAGCGAGCTGTAGCCTGAACCGGAGCCGCGGACGAATGTCCAATAGGACAATAACTCGCGGCTTCGGATCAATGGCCCCGGAGGACACCGTCGGGTTTTAGTGGGTAGGCCCCGCCTTCCCGGCGGGGAGAGTCCCACATAACCCACTGACTGACTGTCCCCATCAGTCAGTGGGCATGCGCAAAGCATTTCCCGACGCAAAAAAAAAAAAAAAAAAAGGCACCCTAGTACAGATACCAGTCTCTCACAAAGGTATTATTGCTGTATGATAATAACTTACTGTAACTAGATATAAGTTTTTATACCTCTGTGAAAGAGAAATAAAGTTTATTTATTATTATTATTATTACTTATAATTTAAAAGTAAATTAAAAACTGGAAGGGTATAAATTTGTTTTGATCATCGGTTTTCAATTTACCACAATTCTGATGAAAGAAAATGAGTATGCTCAATGCATAAAATGGTAGCGTAACAATTTTATTTATTTNTGTCCCCATCAGCCAGTGGGCATGCGCAAAGCATTTCCCGACGCAAAAAAAAAAAATGGACGAATGCGAGGCGCGACTGCGTTCGCTTGAGTGACGCTGCTCACGCGTTCCTAAAATTATTTTGTTTGTGCGAAAATTTGTGAACAACAAAAAAGGGGTATTATAACATTTGTTAAGTAGACGGTTGCTTACACTCAACATTAAAAACTAAATTTTCGTTTTTGAAACTAACGGTTGATTCCGGGAGATAAGTAAAGTATTTATTTGTATTTCAATAGTTCGTTTAACGTTGACAAATTGAAAGCCAACTCAATTATTAATAATATCGAATTGTTTTAGAGAGGTTTTAGGAATTATTGGATAATAGTGTCAACCACTCAACTAAATACTAGGTACTTCCTTCTCGTGTATTTGTTTGCAAACTATTACTATAATAACGTACTAAATATAACTGTATAAGTATACGTGGATATCTGTTATTGTCTTTCTTCCATAGTATTAAGAGTAACATTTTTCTATCATCTATATATATCTATATATATAAAAATGAAACCCGTTTCGCGTTGTCACGGCATCACGTGTGAACGGCTGAACCGATTTCGATAATTCTTTTTTTTTAATGTTTGTGGAAGTCCAAGGATGGTTCTTACGGAAAAAAATATTAAGAAAATCTCTACGCTAAGGCGGTACGAAGTTCGCCGGGTCAGCTAGTAACGAAATAAACGCAACACATGACAAGACAACCCTAGCGCGACAGCCGAGCGTGCGAGCGAGAGAGGTATGCAAAGCGAGGTACAGACATGAGTTTACCTTCTGTTATATTTTGTGACGGAAGCTTCATACAAACGCTCGAAATCAGACTCACGCACACAGACGTACGCTTTACACGAGCTCTAAGCGAACCTCGCAGTCCATCCGTTACGGGTGTCGCGCGCGTTGTGTTTTTAATTTAATAATAATTTGATTGCATGCGCTGTCCGCTGTAGATTCAAAAACATGCCACGAGTGTATTGCGTTTTTAAACTTCATAATAATGGAAGGTGAAAATAATTTAATATTACTTTTTAAATAAAATGCTTAATTAATTACGTAATTAAGCTTCTTAACAATTTATCTGTTCTATTTGATAAGTAATTTGATTTGATTTTGATTTGCTAGTTTATATGTAACTTCTTATACCTAACTAACGAAAAATAAAGACATCGTATTATGTTGAATTGTTGAACGTTTTTTTTATTACCTTACACATTTTTTTGTAAACTAAGCCTAGGTAATGGTGAAAAATCTAAAAAGTTAAAAACGGTATCGTTATAGCCAATGAGCTGATATCATAGTCACTCTAAAAACGTCAGATATAAAGGGACGCGCGCGGACGACTCCGCGCGACAACCCTAACACTCAATTGAAGTGTAGGTATTTAACTCGACGAAAGGGCTTAGTTTCCGTACTGCTTTAGCTCATATATATACTGTGGTATGGTAAAACCAGGCCTGGCTCACTCCGCGCGGTACATCCGATAATTACCTACAGCGAAGCGCCCCGCCGGCGGGTATTATATCAGTCGAGTGTCACGCGCGCGCCCGTCAGGACGCTGGCGTGCGTTGTAGTACCTAATTCCATAGAGAAAAGTAATACATAGGAAATAGAGAACCCTCTCTGTCAAATTTTTGAGCCTACTAATTGACAGCCTGGTGTTAAATTCCTTGTACTCAACCTACGTACGTAACGCTCACATACATACATAGTACACGCACACATACATACATAAAGTCCACGCACACATACACACAGTTCACGCACACATAGGCCCTCATAACCTTCAAAGAATTATTGTTTTTATGATGTACAATGTAGAATTTTTTCAAATCCATTATTTTGAAAATATTTATCTTTATGGTGTACGTATTGTATTACTTTCAAAACAATGGATATGGAAAAATTCTACATTGCACATGGAAATGCAAATAAATTGCTTATTATTAAGTATTGTTCATATGTACATGCCGATCCTAACTTTACTTATTTTTATATTAGCTTAGTAACTTGAGAGGTTGTCTGCTTTAATTGTGTAATTTAGTCATAGGTTTGTTGGCAATAAACACGAGATAAAGCCCTATAAAATTGGTTTTGGTCATTTCTCTCTGTAGGTTAGGTTCCCCTCTTACAATCTGGCGCCCAACGTGGGGCCCTTTAATAAACCGGGTCCCATTGAGGCACGAACCACTTATAATTTAAGACCAAAACCACACAGACAACCTACTCTCTCAGTCCCGCGAGCTAGGATTACTATAGCTAATCGTCATCATAAACACAGGATCGGAGACATGAATCTATCAGAGGCACAATTCGAGAGATTACTGAAGACGTTAGGAGAACCACGCAGTATGAGCACATTGGCTCAGTGCTCTGCACGCTATGGAGGAAGCAGAAAATCCACCGATGTGGAGACTTTCTTGGCGGCCGTGAACGTGTATAAAAAGTTAGAGCACATACAAGATGAGGATGCACTCACTGGCTTACCGTTACTTTTGACGGATGATGCCGCGACGTGGTGGCAAGGGGTGAAGACTCAAGTCAGGACATGGGTTGACTTTGAGACAAGGTTGAGACATACGTTTGCCCCCAAGAAACTGCCGTACATCATCTATCAAGAGATCGTGCGGGTCAGTCAGGTTCACCAGAGCACAGCGTCATTTATTGCTGAAAAACGTGCGCTTATCGCTCAGCTACCCGAATCTCACAAATTGGTCGAGGATCAACTCATAGACCTTGTATACGGACAGTTAAGACTAGACATACGTGAGAAAATAGCTCGGGAACACGTGACGACTTTCGACGACTTGCTTGAGAAAACAAGAGAGGTAGAAAGTCACATGCTAGAAAAGGCGAATCTGACGCAGCGCCCTTTAGAAGACCCCCCTATAAAACCCAAGCGATGCAACTTTTGCCGTATTCCTGGACACACAGCGGAGACCTGCAGAAAGAAGGCTAAAGCAGAGCAGAGCGACGCAGTGAAGCCTAGCCCAACTACGGACATAAAACCAGAAAAACCTAGGCTTTCTTGTTATGGTTGTGGAGAGCCTGGTGTGGTCCGTAGTCGATGCACAAAGTGCTCATCTCAACGACGAACAAGCTCGAACGATGCCAGTTTCTGCGGAGTAAAAATCGGAGAGATGAACCCAAGACCCGTGGTCAGAATACAGATTGGACACATAAAGGGTACTGCTCAAATTGACACAGGTGCCAGGTCAAATGTCGCTTCGTACTCACTCTACCAGCAACTCCGGAAGAATGGATACATCTTCGAGGAGAAGGAAATGAGCATAACCCTCGCTGATGGCATCCCCAAGAGGCAGACCGCCCTCACTGTCAGAGCTCCCATCGCAATATTTGGTCGAGTGATCCCATCATCTTTCGTGGTACTGCCGCAGGCCACCAACAACCTAACTCTGCTGGGAGTAGGTTTTATAGTAGATGCAATGCTCATCTTGAATATACCACAAAGGACCTGCCGTTTTATGGATGACCCCTCTACTGCCTATGATTTAGAGGAGGAGTCTATCCAGGAGATCGTCCTAGAGAAGCTGAAGGAGGAATTCTAATTCATCATTCCAATGGTAAGCCTACTACCAAAAGTTGGTAAGATATTAATCATAAACCTATTGTTCCCCTATGGCAGCCGCGCATGAATCCAAAGTCACCTCAACCTTCCATGATGAGTTCGGAAGTTGCAAGCGGGCTTAGAACTAACTAACTAGCTAACTTTACTTATTTTCATATTAGCTTAGTAACTTGAGAGGTTGTCTGCTTTAATTGTGTAATTTAGTCATAGGTTTATTGGCAATAAACACGAGATAAAGCCCTATAAAATTGGTTTTGGTCATTTCTCTCTGTAGGTTAGGTTCCCCTCTTACAATCTTTTATTATATACCATGGACATTAGCAAAAACAAAAGAAAACTATGTGTAAAATGGGATTGAAAAAAACTGGTCCAAATTAGCGGACTCTCCCTTACACTGTAAATTAAATGTCATGAATAAGAGTTGTAGCAAGTCCGGATTAAAAAATGTATGTGGCGAGTCCTCCGTGTACTTTGACAAAAATATCTTTACAAGTCTTGAAAACTGAAGGTAGTAATAAAATATAAGGTTCTGAGGCGTCTAAACTAAATTAAGTAAGACTCATTAAATAAGGGCTAAAAGACTGAGTCTTTTACAACACTATTTCGAATACAAAGACTGTTAAGAGCGTTTACGCCGTTTGGCGCAAAAACAGTACTTTTTCAACCCGTTACAATCATTAACCAGTTACATTACAAATAATGTTAAAGGCATAAATAATTAGGCAATTTTGTCGTCTAAATAGTTAGTTGAGAAAATATTTCGATTAGTATAGTATTTAAGAATTCTATCAAGATAAGTCCACACAGGTTTTCAAATTTCCACTTTAGCGTCAGTTTACAAGCTGAAATTATTATAAAAATACTGTGAAAACGATATAACAAACATTTATATTCTATAGCATAGGTCCTTAGGCAAATAGTTAATTGAGAAAATTCTTAGATTTAAGCATTTTACAATAAGAAATCATAAATTCAAAGAACGTGAAATACCCAAAAATCATGTTATTGTTTTGCTATAAACATTTGAAAACTATTAAAAAACGCCGCGCGCGAATCATTTCCAATGATGCCCCTTGAAACGCCGCGCTTCGCGTAAACGCTCTTAACAGGCAGCTAAATGAAAGATTAAACCTCGCTTAGTAATGAAAAATGTAAGCACGAATAGCCGAAAGCAGGGTAGGGTTACCACATTAAGGGCTGATCATTAAATTGCAAGAAAAATTGTATGTTTGTATAGAAAGTATGTCTAAAATACCAAGTTATCCTTAAGGTTAATTGGCTAATAAGAAACCGGCCCTAAGAAAAAGATTTATGTAATTAATTAGTCAACCTGTAAAACTTCAATGTTCCAACCACTTAGTAGTTTCGTACATTAAACAAATACTCCAACAAACCTCGTGGCGTCATAGGATTTGAAGGACCCAAACTGGGCAACCAAAATGTATAAAGATTTATTTTTTGCACTAAGGGCTGATTTTTCAATCGCCGGATAACTTTTTACTGAAGAATAAGTTTGGCACATTGACTGTTTCAGTATGGTCAAAATATCAATTTTCTTCAAAGTCAATACTTACGAATCGTCAAATATTTTGCTCTTCAGGAGCCTCAGCCTTGATTCTTCAGTTAAAAGGTTTCTAACGAAAAGGTTTCGACGATTGATATATCAGCCCTAAGCTAAATATAAAAATGTTAGTTCAGCCCTAGGGTTTGTCCATCCCAAGCCAGCAGAAATATAACCCACGTACATCTAGCATGCGTCTGCCTTTGTTGTGTAAATGCTTTTCAACACATTAACGAACTATTCTATTTTCTCTCTGCATTCAGGATTCATCGTTACTTTGTTTGGATTATGCAGATGACTCGCCTTTGTGCATCCATTTATTATTCTTACGACAGTCTTCAGTGCTAATTGAGACATGGGGATTATTTTGCAATTAGGTCTTTGTAGTCAGTATGCTTATTGTCGGTGCGAAGTCTCGTTATAACCAATTAAGGTTATTATTAAAAGCATTCGAGAGTAGGTGTATCTATTAGTTGTTGCTAGAATAAAATAAGAAAAGTATTGTATCATTTTAGTATTTTCGAATATGGAAACTCAACAAAGTAGCTGTGCCTGCGACTCCGTACGCGTGAAAATCGTATGAATAAGTTTTCCCGTTTCCGCTACATTTTTCATTGATGCTCTGCTCCTATTGGTCGTATTATTTGCCTTCGTAGACCAATATTATATGCTATTCAAAACAAAAAATATTTTTCAAATCGTAGCAGTGGCCAGTAATTGCTGAGGTTAGCGCGTCCAACGAAACAAACTCTTCAACTTCACTAGTACCTATATGATTACTGAAGATATTTTACAAATCAAATAGCTTTCATTCATTCACCTTACCTTACGATCAAAATACACCACAGACTTAATCGATCCGGCACGGCAATGTCAAAGCAATCTCATTTCAAAGAAAAATAACCTACTAAGAAATACATCCACTTTTCCGAGACGGTGAAAATTAGTTCATTATACTTCCTACGCCCGGAGTCTTAGGGAATATTTTTATACATATAAAAGATACCTTTGAAATGAAATGGGCAATTGAGGGTGGAACAATCTTGGAATTCTCACAGATTTTTGCTGGAACAGCCTATCGTTAGGACTGTTTATTGATATCTTTATGAACATGCTTAGTTAAGGCCTTATTACACTTATTATTACAGTAGTTTTTGTGGATGTGCGCGTCGCTCTCAAAATATACAGGGTGTAAGAGTTAGAGAGAAAACTAAATCACANGGAGATCGTTCTAGAGAAGCTGAAGGAGGAATTTGCCCTTCCGCGAATAATTTCCCCTATGGCAACCACTCCAAAATCTGGACAGTCACCTCAACCTTCCAAGGTGATTCCGGAAGTTGCAAGCGGGCTTACAGTGGTGCCAGTATCAGGGATGAATGCTGAGGAAGATGTTCAGCCAAGGGAAGCCGTGGTTCCATCAGAGGATATTCCGGAGGTGCACGAAACGGCCAATATCGCCAACATGCATACACCACCGCGGTCATACGGCCCTTTGATACCGGTGGACCTGTCCACACCCCCGAATAAGAAGCCGAAACTGATGTTCGATGGACACTCACCCGTCATTGACGCGCTATATTATGACGCACAAACTAGTCTGGCTGAATATGATGAGGTAACGGACCTTTCCCCTGAGCTAACCCTCCTTTTCGAACCCAAGAATCACAGCCCGTCAACTGATGCGTCATGTGAGAAAGAACAATAACATCGCAAAAAACCCAATGGTAAGCCTACTACCAAAAGTTGGTAAGATATTAATCATAAACCTATTGTTCCCCTATGGCAGCCGCGCATGAATCCAAAGTCACCTCAACCTTCCATGATGAGTTCGGAAGTTGCAAGCGGGCTTAGAGTGGTGCCANACTTAAGTAGATATGTAGTAAGAAAGAAGATAATCTGTCTTATTAGACTATTTCAGACAACTGTTAAAACTACAGCTAATTTTACGCCATTACCAACCTTCTCGAAATTTCATGGAGTTCTTGATGAGTACTTGGAAAACGAATCCAAGTACCAAATACATTTGGATGATTTAAAGCATCAACTATCTCCGAGATGCACCGGGAGGCAGATGGTTGCGAAATGTTTAGGCAGTTTAATTTTGCTGAAGGTGTTTGGTAGCTCCCTGTTCCAAAAAAATGCAATGCACACAACACCTGCAAGAGAGGTACGGTGGATAAAAATAAAGCACACATTATTATTATAATATTCTATGACATAGGAAGGTTACACTTTATTTTAGTTTATTTTACCTTGGTTTTTATATCAATCCGTGATCGCTGCTCAATCACTGGCTCAATAATTTGGATGAGATNGGGGAGGGAGGAAACTTTTCGGGACTACTACGAATTTATACACACCAACTAAACATGGTCCTACTTAGATGACTCTCGGGAGAGGTCTGAGAACGCCTGACGATGTTAATTAGGACCAACTGGGTATTATCATAAATAAAGCTTCATCAGTAACTTCCCATGCTTTAGCAGCTTTCGTAAGGGGTTCGACGCATTGTCAGCACCAAGGCGCGACGAACCCCATTTGTTGTTTCGAAATCATGGACATACTTCTTTGAAATTGCAGACCCCATTGCTCCTGACCATTGCCTGGGCCTGTACCACTCGTCAGCGCTCCGCCTGTCCCAAAGCGCTGAGACAGCGCCCCACCTGCTCCAGAGCGCTGAGACAGCGCTCCTGCCCCGAGCCGTCTCCGCAGTGCCATGCGTAAGCGTGGTCAACCAGAGGCCGTGCCATGCGTGAGCGTGGTCGGCTGAAGAAGATGACCTCCCGAGCCACCCCGGCGTGCCATGCGTGAGCATGGTCAGCCAGCCTACGGTGGTGCTTCAAGCCACCTCCGCCGTGCCATGCGTGAGCGTGGGCGGCCGAAGAAGATGACCTCCCAGCCGTCATCCACGCCAATCCTGGCTCTCTCGTCGGGACGTCTTCGGAGCCAGAGGGGGAGTCTGTAACACGACGCGCCCCTTTGTTTACTTCGAGCGACCAGCGCCGAGCCTGCCACTACGTCACAGCGAGGTCTACGCGCGCGCGCAGCCGGTTTACTGCCCTGCCCCGAGACCCCGCTCGCCGCAACGGGTATATAAGGCGGACGAGCCAGCCCAGCGGCCAGTTCATTTCGCGACGCGCCGCGCTTCCGTACCACGGAACACGATACGCCCGAAGTGAACGCACACACGCACCGCGAGTATACGGTCTGCTTACGTAACACGGAACTGACCGGACTCTCGCGTTGTGACGTCACATGCACGCCTCCCGTGCTTATAGCTAGATTTACATGAACTAATTAATTGTTGCCTCGCATTAGCTTAGATAATAATATTTCACGCTTTGCTATTAATTAGAATTCTGCACATTGTTTACATTCATGCTTAGCTCAAATGCACAATCCGATCCTGTCTTTATGACTTTATTATTTTTCACGCTTCTTGCTATAAAATTATTAAGAAAATGCTATTGTACTAAATATGGCCCTAATGCATACGCCGATCCTAGATTTCCGCTTTAATTAGTTTACTCATACTTTTGATATAAACTTTATTGATTAAACGTAATTGTTTAGTTTCCTATAAAGTGTGGCCCTGATTCATATACCAATCCTTGTTTTATGCTTTGCACATGCTTTTGTATTGAACTTTAGTAATTAGACGCAATTGTTTAGTTAGTAATTAAGTTTAGATCAAATGCATATACCGATCCTTGTTTTGTGTTCTAATTGAATTGCTCACGCTTTAGTTATAAAGTTTATTAAGTAAATACAATTGTATAGCTTGCTATTGGATCCGGCTCAAATGCATATACCGATCCTCATTTTTGCTTCTAATGTTAAAATTACGCTTTGCCATAAGATTAATTAGTCAATGCAATTAGTATTGTTTATCATTAAGTATTGGCCATATGTACATACCGATCCTCAATTTTGATTTGAACACTATAATCATGCTTTGCCATAAGATTGATTAGTCAATGCAATTAATATTGCTTATTAATAAGTATTGTTCATATGTACATGCCGATCCTAACTTTACTTATTTTTATATTAGCTTAGTAACTTGAGAGGTTGTCTGCTTTAATTGTGTAATTTAGTCATAGGTTTGTTGGCAATAAACACGAGATAAAGCCCTATAAAATTGGTTTTGGTCATTTCTCTCTGTAGGTTAGGTTCCCCTCTTACAATATAGCTTTTTGGATCTTTCGACTCCTACTTACAGATTTATGAATAAAAGTCTTAAAAAATATTTAAGTTTTTATTTTTTTACAAATTTACATTCACATCCCACAAATACAGTTTGATAGGACTATTGCCACTTACAGCAGCCATTTATTACAAGAAGAAATACCATTTACAACATAAATGCAAGGGCTAGGCAAGTAAAACCAACACACTCTTGTCTTTTAAATACTTAATCCTTATTTCAAAAGGATTTTTTTGATTTTTTTGCAAATACATACTTTTCCATTTGCATAGACTATTTAAATAGTACTTACAAATCTTAAAATATTTAATTTCTTTAAATATTTTAAGATTTGTAAAAATATTGAAGTTTTGCTCTTAAGTTGCCTTTCTTTACATGTCTCATAATCATTTTACCCAATAGAAATAGGTAGTGTAGGTACATTATTGATTCAGGAATAGTTCTCTGAATTAACCACGCATTTTTGTATGGTGTATCTTATACATAGAAATGGGTATACAAAAATGCATAGTATTATGACCAATGTAGTGACATGCTGATATCTAGTCTAGACTTGCAAATAAATCAAATCAAAATTATCTTTATTTTTTTAGTAGACTAATTAAATTAGTACTTACAAATCGTCAATCAATCAATAAAGCACATGATTCCTATATTTGGAATACAGTCAAGTGCTCTTAAGAAGCCTATACATATCTCATTCTTTTTTTGCCCTACCAGCGCTTAAAGACAGGGTGTTGCATTACAAACCGGACTGCCGGTTTAAAAATATAAAAAAGTAGGAAGTTACAATACATTCAGAAACAAGTTACTTACCATACATTCCCATTAATAGAGTACTATAATGACAAGCATAGGAAGTATAAACAAGCATAATTAATTAAAATAATTGTTAATTATTAAATTTTTTTTAACTCGTGCCTGATTTAAAAAAAAAATTCTTGACGTTTCACCATCTCTTGATAGTGGTTGTTGAGGAATAATTCCGAGATCCTCATCCGGAGGCATGCCAGGATCAGGGACATTGTGTGCAATGCACATATTGTACAGTACACAACATGCATTTATTATTTTGGTTGCCTTATTTGGCTTATAATGCAACACCCTGTCTTTAAGGAGGCACCTAAATCTCCCTTTCAGAACCCCGTTACATCTTTCAATCGTAGATCGTGCTTTTTTTAAAGCCTCTGAATATCTGTGTTCTGCAGATCCATCTTCGACATGTAAAATTGGCGTAAGACACCAAGGTCGTAGTGCATATCCACTGTCTCCTGAAATAAATTGTTGTTTTGTAAAGGACAGTGCCAATCCATGTATGGAAGTTGGACCAAGTGCTGCCCAGAATGAAACCATAGTGCAATTTGTTCCTCAGGCCAATACTAATTTGTAAACCGAAGCGCACTGAAATCTATCCCTGGAGTTAAGAGAAAAAAAGAGTTTTGTTTTGAATTATTTACATACAAAATATCATCCATGTATACGTACTACGCATAAGATTTCGCGATTGTGGCATTAAATAACACTCGCTATGCTGAACTTAACCATACTGCATCCGTACACCTTACTTTAGTACGACTTCGACATTCTTTAAAAGCGATCAAGCGCTGTTGCAGTAGTTTGGTTACTTGATAGAAATTAATTATCTCCAAAATGGAGCAAGAAGTTTTAGCTCACAATAACTTCAATAAAATCGATTGTAATATATCAATAAATTGATTTTTTGCAAGGATAGAGAACTAAAACTTCTTGCTTCATTTTGGAAATAATTAATGTCTGTCAAGTAACCAAACAATTAAAACAGCGCTAGATCTTTTATAAACAATGTCTAAATCGCACTAAAGTAACGTGTACGGATACAGTATGGTTAAGTTCAACATAGCGAGTGTTATTTAATGCCACAATCGCGAAATCTTATGCGTAGTACGTATACATGGATGATATTTTGTATGTAAATAATTTCAAACAAAACTCTTTTTTTCTCTTAACTCCAGGGATAGATTTCAGTGCGCTTCGCTTTACACATTAGTATAGGCCTGAGGAACAAAATGCACTATGGGTTGATTCTGGGCAACACTTGGTCCAGACCCTGGCACTATCCTTTATCTAGCGATATTTTATGTTATGGTGTATTAACAGTATAACAACAGTATGAACTTGTTGCAAGATCAAAATCCTTTTAAACATGGACTTTTAAATAATGTGTTAACATTTAATATTATTTGTACATACCTATAAGGTGATAACTTTGATGGCCACTTGTGTATAATTGTTCCATCACAGGAAGGACGTTGGAGCTATTCCAGATATATGAATCGTGTGTGCTTCCAGGGAACAGAGCATTTACATTTAATATTTTAAGTTTGAATCGCATATCTGTTGAAGAATAAAATGATTAAGTATTAATAAAATAAGTTCCAGATTAGAATATCACAGGAGTGTGTGAAAATGTTACTACATATTTACCAATTGCGCATTGATGGAGTGGTAATGCTTCCTATTTACATAGCTCCTCTCCTCAAATGGTCTTTGAGGAGGAACTATGGAAATATGGGTGCAGTCAATGCAACCAACAATCCCTGGGAACCCATAGGCAGTGCAGAAGCTGGAAACATAATAAATTGCTGTAGGTGTGCAATTGTGCATCAACCAACCTAATAATAAGTGATTCATTGCTTATTAATAAATACCCCTGCCCCTACTTTAATATTATATGATTGACAGGCATCCAAATTTTCACTTAAGCAGATATGTAGTAAGAAAGAAGATAATCTGTCTTATTAGACTATTTCAGACAACTGTTAAAACTACAGCTAATTTTACGCCATTACCAACCTTCTCGAAATTTCATGGAGTTCTTGATGAGTACTTGGAAAACGAATCCAAGTACCAAATACATTTGGATGATTTAAAGCATCAACTATCTCCGAGATGCACCGGGAGGCAGATGGTTGCGAAATGTTTAGGCAGTTTAATTTTGCTGAAGGTGTTTGGTAGCTCCCTGTTCCAAAAAAATGCAATGCACACAACACCTGCAAGAGAGGTACGGTGGATAAAAATAAAGCACACATTATTATTATAATATTCTATGACATAGGAAGGTTACACTTTATTTTAGTTTATTTTACCTTGGTTTTTATATCAATCCGTGATCGCTGCTCAATCACTGGCTCAATAATTTGGATGAGATCCAATACAAGGCTTTTAGTGAGCCTAAAATGTTTTATAAACTGGGCATCGCTGAAGCTAAAGGGATCCAAATTTGCCGGAACTCTACGCCGCGGCGGATCCACGGTCGCTGCTTCCAACTCCTCAAGCAGGTTACCGAAGAAGTCAACGATAAATTCGTCCTCGTTCATTTTGAGCTTAAAATTGGATAAAGAGAAAAACTTCCTTGATTTTTCACAGCTAAAACCAATTATGATTTTACAGCGGCGGATTATGACTTTGACAGCTAATTTCGTATACGAACTCCTACTTCGAGTGGTCAGTAGCACTCGTTGCGTTCGAGTGGTGTTCGATCGAATTTTTTCGATCGTGAACTTCTCAGAATACACACACTGTGTAACAATCGAAAAAAATTCGATCTTCGAATTATTTTACGAATGTGAACTTTTTTCGATTGCATGAGAATCGTGTCCCTGGTCGCAGACAGATAGATTTCTCTAACATAAGAGAAATGAATTCTCATCTCTGCTACTATTGGTTAGGCATTAACTCTGAGGAGTTTTACCAATTGCTTTCCCATATACCACAATTATCACATGAAGTTCCATGCCCAAGTGTGGAATTAAGTATATTGTTAGTTAAGCTCAGAACTGGAGAAAGCTATGAACGATTGTCTACATTGTTTAAACTTCCAAGAAGTAAAACTTGCAAGAAGTACTTTAGAAAGATACATGTCTAAAGCTAGAAATTGTTTAACAAACTCGTTTGTGCCATTATATTTGGGATTAGGATGTTTGTCAATCCAAGATGTAGCTCAGGAAAATAAAATTATTCCAGATGGTTTATTTGGCAATCCAGATTTAGCAGAGAATATTAAGCCTGCAATTGTCATTTGTGACGGCACTCTCCACAACCCAGGCCTACGCCCATTATTACACACCACCGTGAAACAGACAGAAACACACAAGGCTTCAAGCACTACCCGAAGCAGTACACTGCGTTGGAGACCTCCAGCCATCGCCACCGGCGGAACTGCGCGGAGTGTGGCAAGCGCGTCACATCTTACTGCAACGGGTACGAAAAAGCGCTTTGCGTTTTTTCATGCTTTGAGCCTTACCACACAAAACTGTTCAGAAACACTACACAGTAACCTTTTTTTTTTAACAGACATGGTTTTTGTGTGCGTATGTTCAGTAACCATCGTAACAGCTTTTTTTTGTTTTTAGTGCACTTTTTTTTTAAAGAAGTCCGTACAAACTGGAAGTCAAACCCATAATTTAATTGTGTTGCGTATTGTATTTTATTTTGTTTGTTTGAGCAAACTCTAAGGAGAATATTATATGTTGTTTGTTTGAGCATTGCTTTTTTGATACAATATCTAAGGAGAATATTTTGTTTTGTTTGTTTGAGCATTGATTTCTTGATACAATATCTAAGGAGAATGAATACTATACAGTTATTTTTCCATTTGTTTTACGGCTTTGGATTCTAGCGACTTTAGAATTGGTAGCCGGCGTCGGCTGTAAAGGCACTTCCAAGCTTATATCGATTCATCGGTTAACAATATATCGGCAAAAAATATCGATATATCGAATTAATAATATCGAATATATCGATATTTTTTCAACAAACCTAGATCAAGTGTGGATTTGCGTATTCCTGAGCCTGAGCGGATTGATGGCAATCATCCTCATTTAGTGAGATTTCCAAAACTCAATTACAGACCTGAAGAGATTCGCTCTAGGCACCTACCAACTAAAGCAAGCAAGATCCTATTACGGAGAACATGTTCGGCATTCTGGAATATATTCTGTTGAAATAAACAATGAAATCGATGATGATATTCCTCTGATTTTAGGACTAAATAACTATTTGTTGAGAGGAGAATCACTCTCACAGTTCCACAACTAGCGTTTCAGATTCTATGAGCAGCCATAGAGATTCTGATATATTAGATGCTGTTTCAGATGAAGAATTGCTATAAAATATAATATCGGTGATCATGTATCAGTGCGGTATGACACCAAAACTAAGTAGACATTTAAGTAGGTATCATTGAAAACATTTTGTCGCAAAATAAAATCTTATGTATTGTATTAGATTTTATAAAACTATTAAAAACCCAAAACTAATTTTTAAGTGGACAAAAAAATTTCGTGATGAAGTTCCCGATAAAATTTTCAGTTTACTTGTAAAAAAAGTTGAATTAATATCAGTCTCGTCAAAATCTAAGTCCATTTTTGAGTGCGATAAATAACAATTTCATTCTCAGTCATAGATTCACAGTTCATCTCCTCGAGAGGAAACTCGTGAGTTTGAGTGAGACGAAGCAATACTGCAAGAAAAAAATCATCACAGCTGATGTACCTGCCATACCGACAGCTTTCAGTGAAGCAATATCAGAAATTAAAGACTTAGGACTAGACAAGGTAATTTCAATTCCTACATTTGAAAGTAAGAAAACTTTTTTGTATCGAGTTATGTAGGATAAGTGCCTAGTTTTTAGAGGGTTCTCACGAACCCAAGTAATTAAGTGGTAGTTATTGTTTTATTTATGGTTTCTGTTAACTTAATGTCATCTGTCAGATTGCCCGCCATTGCATGTTCTGTCATTCATGTTGTCTTGGTTTTTACAATAAAATGTGTTGATAAAATTTCTTAGAGTTTTCAATAATAAAACAGTTATAAGTTAGAGATAAGAACTTAGCTGTAAGATAAAGTGTATGGTAAAGTTAGTCTGAAATAAACGGCCGCTTGGTCAAGACGTGTGTTTTTAAAAGCTTCCCGGCTACGCTCCATACATAACTGGCGCAGTTGTGGTAGAATAGTAAAGTTGTAGAGTCAGTGCTAACAGCTTCAGGCGTATCCAACGAATACACCGCAGCAGCCGAAGACCACAACCAGGCCCTGGGCGAGCATCAACCTCTGCACGCCGCCGCACTATCCTGCTGAACCTACCGTAGCTGAGGACCAGCACCAGCACCGAGACCAGCGCGCCATCAGACTCAAACCTGGGAGATGAGGCTATATTGGGGGTAAGTAAGCTTACTTTGTTGCCCAGTAGTCCTTATCATACCGTCCTGTGAAAAGTGTGTGATCCCATTTTCCCGCTTTTCCTACAAAACATTCCTGAAATTGTGTGATTCAATTGTCCACATTTCCTCAAAAAGTATATAGCACGTCCTTTTCAGAATTGTGTGATTCAAATTTCCATATTTCTAGTTAAGTATACTTATTGTGGTTATACCTACTTATATTTTCGCATTTAAAAATGAATATACGAGGCAGCAGCTTAGGTGACCTAGCTAACGTGGCCACTCAGGTCCTAAAAAACGAAACGAAATCGATAATAGAATCCAATTATGACCTAATTGACAAAATATTACCTTCCTATGATGGGAACGCAAAATCATTGAATGTCTATATAAGATCCATAGAATCCATATTAGCCGCGCGCAATATTGGAAATAACGATCCAATCGCGATCTGTCTGATTCGAAACAAACTAACTGGAAAGGCACTAGAGGCCATCTCACTAGAAGTAGACATAGAAGATTGGCAATCGATTAAACTAGCAGGTTAACAGGTGGTAACCCACCTGTCTGTGGCGTGGAGCATATGCTCCAATGTCAAAATGGCCCCGTCTGTGGCATGGAGCATATGATCCAGAAAACATGAGTTCATATTTCGCGGCATAGCACGCTCATTTTTTTTTATTGCATTAAGATTACTACAGTACGTTCCTGACGAACCGGGCTGTATAATGATATACGCCTTGGCTATGGCCTCGAAGGAAAATAAAAAGTTATCTGTCATTAAAGTTACTCTATTTTCATTCCGCCATTTAGTTTCTTTCGGCGTGACGAACAGGTCTCCCCGTGCACTAAACAAAAAAACCAGTTGCTGAATCATGGAACGGTAAGTAAATTTCAATTATTTATCTACTTTGTGAGGTTTGTTAGCAATTTTCATTGAAAAAATCTGTGATGAATGCAAAAGTACCCTAGGTATGAACGACGTCAGTTCCGAATCAGTGACTTTTTCGTGACCTAAATCACTACCAATCTCTAAATGTTTCCTTTATTAGTTGCGGTATTTATCATTTTAGCTAAATACGTAAGCATGAGGCATATTCTGATGTAAAACGTGAGAAATATCGATAAAAGTGTGTAACGGTTTTTTGTGGAGCAAATGCTCCAAGGTCACAGACACGGCGTGACATTAGTTTGAAGTTTGTTTGGTGACGGTTGACTAACATGGATTGCCGTTGGTCGGCTTTTTTATTATGACTTAAAATTAAATCGACTTTTTATTTTATTGTATTTACGTCGACTTTTTATTTTTATTAACATTAATATGAATAAAAAAAAACTTTTAACTGTCATTGGTATTTTTTATTTCAATGTACTGGAACTTTCATGAGACACACAAACTTGTTTTTGTTTTTGTCTGCATCCATTAATTTTTTTTTGGTTTCCTGCCAATTTCTTTTTACTTACATGTTTTGTTTTTTACCCGACTGCGCCAGAAGGAGGGTTATGTTTTTCGAGTGTATGTATGTTTAATATTTGCTTTGCTCATTTGTTTTTTTTTTGCATGTTATTATAGCGCAATGAGAGGAGGTCGTACGCGTGGTGGCGTACGCACACGCGGGGGCGGCGTACGCACAAAGGCCGGCCATCTGTTTTGGAACCGTAATTATCGCCCTTTACTTTGTTTTGTTTGTGTGGTGCACAATAAAGCGTTTTTATTATTATCTTGATTCACTTATAATATGGTCTTAATTAAAAATTTACAATGTAATGATTAATTTTATTATTATTCTAAGCAAAGTGAATAATTTTACTCAAGTCACTGAAATTATTATTTTAGAATGGTTTTAATTTATCAGAATTTTTGTTTAATATTGTCATACCTATATAGATAACAAATAGTTGATGAGAATGTTATTTTCATTTTAGGATGAGCAGCCTGGATATCAGGGAGGTGCCGCGAGGCAGTGGCCTGGAGCGGCCGCTCCACGCTCCCAAACGGAAGAGAATTTTGCCCTCGGCAACTGTGTATGTATTTAAATGAAACCCTTTTTTTATGATTATGTGTCCATTTTAGTATTGACTTAACGTATTTAATTTATGTTTTAGGACCAACATCCGAGAGTATAAACAGATTCGGAGAACAAAGAACCGAGGTTCAAATAATGCAGGAAATGATGCGGTGTACGAAATCACGCACCGAATCATGCGAACAGTTTGGTCGCAAAATACGCGACTTATTAGACGCGCTATGCGGCGTAGGTTCCTCACCGAAAAAATACAGCCGCTATTACCAAACAGTAGCCATCGACACCTACGTCGACAATTTAGATTACAATATACAGTGTGAGTCACGTTAAAAAGTACATATGAAAATATATGAAACTAGACCTATTTTTATCGATAAAAAAGAGGTCAAAAAATTTTTGAGATTTTTTTTTTAATTTTTTATAGATTTTTTTTTCTTCCAATTACTTATTGTAAAGAAAACGTAATAACTTTTAAAGTAAGTGGTATATCCTGATAAAAGAAAAACAGTAATAATGCTAAATAACAGGCAATACTAAAAAAATACATGAAATACCCAGAAAATGCCCACAAATAATAAAAAATGATACTTTTTGAAAAAAATCTGCTTAAAAATTCGTATTTTTTTGGTTATTTGATAAATTTCTCCAAAATATGCCCCTATAACAGATGGTTTTTATTACTTTTTATTATTCTCTATCGTATTACTTTTGTAAAACTAAAAATCGCATGTCTCTATCACTATCACAACATTTGCTATGATCGTTTGAACAAAGGCCTGCCACCACATTTTTCTCCGCTACAGGTAGAGACAATTTTCATTTTAACTAAAATGCTTATTATACTTCAAAATCTTTTGTTTTTATTTGAAATCTAACTTGTCTTTATCAAAATTACAAATCTAGAGTCACTTTCAGTTTCGTTGTTAACGAAGCGTTGAATGGCGCGCCCGGAGAGGCTTAGTTCAAATGATCATTGCAAACGTTGTGATAGGGATAGAGACATGCGATTTTTGGTTTTACAAAAGTAATACGATAGAGAATAATAAAAAGTAATAAAAACCATCTGTTATAGGGGCATATTTTGGAGAAATTTATCAAATAACCAAAAAAATACGAATTTTTAAGCAGATTTTTTTCAAAAAGTATCATTTTTTATTATTTGTGGGCATTTTCTGGGTATTTCATGTATTTTTTTAGTATTGCCTGTTATTTAGCATTATTACTGTTTTTCTTTTATCAGGATATACCACTTACTTTAAAAGTTATTACGTTTTCTTTACAATAAGTAATTGGAAGAAAAAAAAATCTATAAAAATTTAAAAAAAAAATCTCAAAAATTTTTTGACCTCTTTTTTATCGATAAAAATAGGTCTAGTTTCATATATTTTCATATGTACACTTTAACGTGACTCACACTGTAGGACTAGAGGTTAGGCTTAACTACCCAAAGACGCTAGAAAACGCCATTGCACTCGCCCGCCAGGAGGAGGCACGGCAGAAACTATTCGTACCTTTACAAACGCACAAAATCAAATAAAGCAGGTAAATGCCCGACCATTTCAACGTCAATTCACCCCTAATAACAATAGACCGTGGCCTGTAAAAACTGAAAATAACTCGAACTCATTTACACCAAAGGTTCAACAGCCTAATAAATTACATAACATCTAGACGGACACCTACAAGTGTATCGATGACAAACAGTTATTAGACTCGGAATTTCAGAACCCTGAAAATTTTCAGGAAAACCCCGATCAAGACGAGGACACGTAATCAACCATTTTTGCGAATATCAGTATATTGTCGATAAATTACCGTACATTAGAAGAAACAGTATGGGCGGCAATTTCTTAATAGATACTGGAGCTACGCGCTCATTACTTTCCCCCGATAGTGTAACTAATCATCAATTTGGGCAACGATTAACAAAGGAATAGTTCTCAATAACCACAGCCCATGGCACTTCACATCATGAACAAGTGGCCCACATTCCGTTACCACCAATATTTGGGAAAGGGCCTGCAACCCATAAATTCTTAGTTTTCGATTTTGACAGTAACTATAAGGGCCTGATAGGGACCGATTTGTTGAGAACACTTGGTTGTCAAATCGACTACGACAAAAAGAAACTTTACACAAAAACAACAGCAATCCCGCTTTTATTCGATAACATCATTATAAAACGTCGACTAAGGCGGTTATCACACTGCACCGCGCATCGCCGCGGGACGCGTGGCGACAGATAACGCGCGCGGCGAAACAGGCGCAGATCTGCGTCACCACGCTGTGTGATCTGCCTTCCCGCGCGGAGCGTCGTTGCCCGCGTGCCCCGCCTCAAATAAAGACTAATGTCCATTTCACAGTCGAACGTCGTGGTGAAAGTACATATTTACAGAGGTTTGTTTCGATAAGAATGGTTAATAGTGAACTCATTCAAGATGCTGCAGTTATATTATCAATTTGGTTCTCTTATACTCAAATTAGAAGACGCCGTGTCCATAGAAGATATTGGATACATCCCTTTTTACGAACGAGATCGATAAATGGATCATCACTAAATATATTTAATTTGATTGATCAGTAAATATATTTATTACCTCTTCCCATTGCTTCACTCTTTGCACTGTACTGTAATCTTTGCATTTCATATTCCATATTGCTGGACGCTGTTCGATTTCAAATATAAATCTATCTACGTCGAGATCCATCATGGAAGACGTGCTTTATGCATAAAAACACGCGCGTTACAGCGGATCAGTCAGTGTGGCATACCCGCGGCACACACCGCGCCCCCTCGCGGAATCAGCGCGCGCGACGCGTTCCCGCGCGCAGACGCGTTGTCAGTGTGAAGTGCCGCGCGTGTTTTCTATACAAACTGAGGTACTTGCATACAATGATTAAATCACAATTGTAAATAACAATTGTAATATTATTATTCGGAAGTACGAAAGTAAACTTTTTTTTATAAAGATACAGTTTTCGTTATTTTGACTGGCGCCCAACATGGGGCCCTGTAAAGTTCGCGCAACCTTGAAGTTCAAGATCTCCGAAGAAATCTCCGAGGTCGCTCAGAGTCTGCGTTCTGACTCAAGTCACTCAGAACCAGGGGCTCCACAACAAAACAAATAAGTCAAGATACATGTATACAACGAGTATGCTTCGTGTCATCATCATCATCATCATCTTCACGCTGTAAGTGCCTGAAGCATTCCAGTCATTTTCCAAAATTCCACTCCTTAAACCCGCAAGTTTTGTATTTAGACCTAAGGCTAGTTATTGTTGTGAACAAGATAGACCGACCCTCATCCTAAGATGGAGGGATATACTAGCAATGTGCCATCAGCACAAAGCCCAATTCAAAATCCTAGGCAGGCGGCAATGCCGACCGTTGATCCTAGCATTTTAATAAAATTCGTCCCGTCCTACAATGGAGACGCTTTTTCTATANTAACTATCCCCGTAAACTTAAATGAAGGTAGGTAATGTTTACAACATTATCTCATCAAATGCGGGTAGTAATTTATTACCATACTGTTAGTGAGGGTATTTAATAACGCTGTACTCTTAATATTTACCCTCGTAATACACTGATAATAATAAAATGTCACTTCACTTATCATTACTGGTACTTAATACCTTAACGTTATCCTTACGCAAATTTTTAATTATTGAAAATGGAAGGACTTTTTTCTAATCTCGACGTGTTTGTGTACATGAGACAAACATCCTTTAACGCGGACTTGCTGTTTGAAAAAGTGGTCAATTCAGTAAAATTTTCTCTGTCCGAAAAACAGAAGACCGATCTTAAAACATTTTGTGCTACATATACCAGTAATCTTAAGCGAAAATGGAAATCTGCCAACAGCACACTGGACAATTTTAAGGTGAAGTTCGCTGGCTGGTTGGATTCAGAAATTAAATGGCCGGACTTTGTTGTAATAAACGAAGAAATATCTTATATGATGTTGGATAGTGAACTTTCAACTCCTAGTACATCATCCAGTCCTAATGTTCCTCGTAATGTCTCTGTGTCGACATCTACCACTCCATTTAGAGCTCGAAAAAGTTTTGAAGATCTAAGTCCCCTTCAAAAAAGAAGAAGAACTGAAAATCTTATTGCAGAAAATGATTTTGATACGTTAGCTCATGCTCTGGCCAATAAACCAGGAGAAAACCAAAATCAAACGGACTTCGCTGAGTTAGTGAAACATGTAATCAAACACCCTAATGATGCATCAATGCTTCTAGCTTGCCTCAAATCACCAAAGCGATCTTGTCCTGCTGAAAAAGCACTGGGTATGTTGACATCACTAAATTTATCAAAATGGCAATATATTGTATTGAGGCAGATGTTAAAAGATATGGGATGTGATATATTCCCATCTTATAATGCTGTGAGAAATGAGAAAAATGAGTGCTACGTAGAAAAAGAAGGTATGATAATAACAGATACTGGCGTTAAACTTAAACTACAATCTATTTTGGACATTACGGTAAAGAGACTGTTCAAGACTCTGGAAACAAAAGCAGATGAAAATAAATTGTCTTTGATCAGTAAGTGGGGCTTTGATGGTGCATCTGGACACAGTAACTACAAGCAGACTATGGAAGGTGATGATTCCAGCATATTCATGTGTTCATTTGTACCATTGAAAATGGTACGAGATGATAGTGCTGAAATTATATGGGAAAATCCCAAAGCCTCCTCAACTTTTTATTGCCGGCCTATTTATTTTAAATTTGCCAAGGAAAATGATTTAAACATTAAAGAAGAAATGACAAAAATTGAAACAGAAATTTCAGCTTTACAGCCATCAGTTGACGGAAGTGCAAAGGTGAACCATAAACTGCATATGACCATGATAGATGGCAAGATAACCTCACACTTATCAGATACCTCCACAGCGACATGCGATATCTGTAAAGCAAAACCGAGCGAAATGAATAACCTCGACATGGTATTGCAGAGACACCATTCTGTGGATATGTTTAAATTTGGCCTATCTTCCCTTCATGCACGAATTAGATGTATGGAATGTATCTTACATGTTGCTTACCGCCTTGATTTTAAGCAATGGCAAGCTAAAGGAGAGAATTTGAAATCACAATTAGCTAGCAAGAAAAAAACCATTCAAGATAAATTTCGAGCTGAAATGGGATTGCTCGTGGACGTGGTTAAACAAGGTGCAGGGAATTCCAATGACGGGAACACTGCGAGAAGGTTTTTTGCAAATCCTGGGGCAACTGCACAAATTACGGGAGTGGATGAGGAACTTATAAAGAGATTTGGTGTGATTCTTCAAGTAATATCTTGTGGAGAGTATGTTGATGTGGAAAAGTTCCGTGAATATTGTGCTACAACAGCTCGAAGATATGTCGAGCTCTATGCTTGGTATTATATGCCGGCAAGCGTGCATAAATTACTCCTGCATGGTGCTGAAATAATTGAGCACAACAATTTTATTCCAATCGGCAAACTCTCTGAAGAGGCATCTGAAGCACGGAACAAAGATTTTAAGAAATTCAGAACCTTCCACTCTCGTAAGACCAGTAGGATTGCTACAAATGAGGATATCATCCATAATTTATTAATATCTTCTGACCCATACCTGTCTAGTTTTAGACCTAAGATGAGTCAGATTCGTAATAAACCTCTTTCAGATGAAGCCAAATTGTTATTAAATCATAGTGTAACTAAGGCAAATATTGAATTTGTAGATATAGGAAACCTGTCTGACTGTGACACTGATTAATTTATTGTTTTTTCGATTTTTCATTATGTTATTTGTGAAACTTGATATCTTTTTAATTACAGCAATTTTCAAGTGTACTCTATTTTTTTCTTATCGATAGATGATTTTCCTTAAAATTAAAATACAAACACAAGGTACAAACACACGTANATAAAACACATACTCAAATTTGGTGAACTTGTTCAGTGTACCGTATAGATGCCCCCATTAAAAGGAATGTAGCTAGTTTAGAAGGACCCTGTATACAACTATTTAAACAGTGCAATGCAATATTTAAATGTAGCAGGAGGGAATACGCCTCAAAATGTAATGCTACTATTAGGTAAATTAGAGGGAAGAGCATCCCAAATCGTAACCATGATAAACCACAATTTTGATTGAAAACCAGAAAATTCTCTGAAATCCGAATGTGGAGACAATAGAGAATTAAATACGTTATTAGTAGAATTATCAAACGTTAAAAAACGAGGCTCCTATAAGGATCTTATATTCGAGCTCAAACAAAAATTATTTTTTATTAAAAGTAAATTATATGATAAATATAGCAATAATAATTTAGTTTTAGTGGACGAAGTCGTGGAACCCTACATTAACACCGCCCAAAATGCCCTGCGAAATAGTTTGCCGTACCATGATCAGATTTACGTTTCAAATTGAACCTTTAATGAAACGGTTTCTAAAATTTTACAATTAGAAGCAGAAGGTCGTTTTGACAACATAAAACAAAAATTTTCCTAAGTATTACCGCCACCACGGATAATTAATCAACAATACCCCCAATATGTATTTAGGCAAAACTATCCTCAACCGCACTCAAATGCAAACCAACCTAAACAACAATGGCATTCATATCCCCCGACACAAAGGCCCATTAATCAAAGAATGGCAGTTCAAACGATACCATATCATCAACGATATCCCTGGAAAGCAAACCCAAACAATGCCTTCAGTAAGCCACAACATCCATATTTCCAACAAATGAGAATGCATCAACAACAAAGGCCGGTTGCTCAAACAAAACCCGAAATGGAAGACGTGTCGATGCGCACCGCACCGCAATTAAAACAGAACCAAATAAATTTAGGAAAAGGTTATGTGGCAGAAGAAGTGTTCTACCATCCGGAAGCTAGTGAATTGGAACATTACGAAGAATATGAAGAATACCCTTTGTTGTATCTAGGTGAGCAAGATTTATCTGATTATCCCGAACCACCACCTAATATTTTTTTAGGCTTACCGGTAACTTCGAATTTTTGCGGAAACCCCAAGTAGACAAAGGATCATAGAATTTAATCATGTAAAATCTTATTTGCCATATTTTGAAACGGATAACCCTAAATTAAAAAGACTTCTTGACTAAGTTTAAGTTTGGTGTTTGCATTTTGCAAAGTTTGCGAGATCAATTCCAAATAATTAAGTATTTTACCTGTATTAATATCGGAAAAATAATAAATATCGAGTATCTACTTATGATTATTGGGTTCAGTTATTACCTGTAATAGCAATATTTTCTTCTTTTTCAGAAAATATGGTATAGTATCAGCCAATCCACGAGCGCTGGCCCGAGTGCCGCCATCTGAGCCAGGCGGAGCTGGAAAAGCTGTAGGCGGCGTGGAGGCACGCCGTCGAGTCGTCGGAACGCCGCCTTGCGTCGCACAATAATAAACAATTTTAGGAGCTTTAAACGAGTTGAAGTGTTTAAATGCAGTAATTTAACACTAACTAGTATAAAATCTCTTATAATAAAATTAAATAACCTTTTTTTTTAAATGTTTTTTATGGCTTTTAACTCCTTGCAGCTTAGGTTAGGCCAGTACGAACAAACTAGACGAGTACGTAGTTTTCAAAAATAACAAATAGGTATGAATTTTAATCAAAATTTTTGACATCTTCTTGACACTACTCATGACAGGTACATAAAATATAAAAATTAATAAGCGAATGCACATACATTGCATATACATATAGGTAGGGCCGGCCGACCGCCATCCAACACCCCCCTTTCATTCACCACTACATACTTGGTCTATCGGCATTGTGCTAGTTGGTACTCGTATATCGTGTGCAGTGCAAGCTATGCAAGCCAACACAATGACAATGCTTTCGTCGTGCAAGTAGATACCTATTAACAGCGGCCGCGGGCAGTAGGTATGTAGCGCATGAAATGGTACATACCTATTGCCCGCGGTTTCGTAATAGGTATAAGGTACACGTTAATAATACAAGTTACTTCTACATATTAATATAATTTTTAAATAGACACATAACTATACAGTGTCTATAATCATCGTAATCTGTCTGGTCTATGATTAGATAGTGTAGTTTATTTGTTTTTTCCGTTCCTTTAAGTACCTGGACTAAATTCTGCTCATTACTATTTATTTATTTAAACACCATAATGAAATTCAAATGAAGTAACGAACGCACGCACGCCTTAAACACTCACGCTTATTTTTGAGTCTCCGCTCTCTTATTGGGGGGTAGAGACAAAAATTACTCATAACAACGAAGTTGGAACTAGTGTTATGCACTTTAACGTTCTGCCATTATTAAATGTAGCTGGCTCGTTCAATCTGAGACATCCGACCCTAAGCGAATTGGCTTTCGTTGTTTAAGTGAGTTTTTAAGCATAATAGACGGTGTGAAAAAAGCACATGCATATTATAGTATTTTGGCAGACGAATCTTGTGATATCGCAGGCAAGGAGAAACTGTCCATCGGCGTCAGATTTTTTGTGAAGAAAGGATGTTGATTCGCGAAGAATTTCTAGGCTTCGTCGAACTAATTGCCATGGACGCTAAATCTATTGCCTCTGTCATAGATAACTTCATAACGAACGTGGGCCTGGACCCAGAAAAGTGTGTGGGGCAGGGCTATGACGGGTGCTCCATAATGTCGGGTAAAGATGGTGGCGTTCAAAAGATACTAAGAGAAAAATATAAAAAAACCTTGTTTTTCCATTGCGCCAGCCACAAATTAAATTTGGTCGTTCATGATTTAAATCAAATCCCCGCAATACGAAACATACTTGGCACAATAAAGGAAATCTTACAATATTTTTGAGAATCGGCTCAACGCCGTAAGCACGTGCCTAACATACCGATGCTATACGAAACGCGCTGGTCGCCAGGGTTGCCAGATATCAGCTAACTCAATTCGCCTAATTTTTCCTACCGAGTAGCCTAAATCGCCTAATATTTTTTTTTCCTGAAGTAGCCTAATTCGCCTAACATTTTGAGGTAAGTATACAAAAATACATATCAAATCGACACATTAATGACAAACACTGTTTATCTCTTTCTAACTTACCCATGATGACGTATGAAAAAAGAGATAGATAATGTTTGGTCAGCCTACTCATTCTGGCAACATTTTTATGTGACGTCACTAACTACCTGACTAGTGCCGAGTACATACAAGATTTAAGAAATCAACATGGCTGCAATATAGGCAATCAGCTGACAACTACACACACACGCACACACACACACACACACACACACACACACACACACACACACACACACACACACTCACACACACACACACACACACACACACACACACACACACACACACACAAAACCTGTCATTTCCTATATTGCGGCCATGTTGTTTTCTTAAAGTGTGTACGTAATGTATGTGTCAGCGGCAATTTGTATAATTTAGGAATTCTATACAATCCCTAGTCAATGTGTAAAATCAATGCCTGGGGCGCGATAATATATATCAGGTGTATGTAAAATATTATTGTTCAATAAATACTTTACCTAGGCAGTAGACCTAAGAACCTAAGATGCGCGCCGCGATAAGCGGTTATCACGCTATTTTATCGATTTTGCCCATACATTTTGACGTCGATAAAAGTTATCACGGCGCGCATCTTAGGCCTACAGGTGTATGTAATTCCTAGGCATTGTATAGAATACCAGCTGTGAGCTGGCCCACCGGTAATGTGTAAAGTAAGCAGATTTTGACTTTGATCATTATTATTTATGTAGATACGGTTAGGGTGTAGAAAAGGGAGTGCAGGACTTAGCCGAATAACCGAATTTTCGAACGTAATTTGTATGGAGCTGACACTTAGAAAAAAATTGACGGATTTAGTATGGAGTTTAAACTTTTTAGAGTAGTAAAGGGGGTAGGGGTCATTTTAAAAAATTAACTGAATTACAGAATACTAGGTTAGGATTTATTTTTCCAAGGTAATCCTGAAGTAGCCTAAATAGCCCGATCTTATTTTCTAGGTAGCCTAAATGGCTACCGGTAGCCGTTTGCATTTTTTGGTCGCCATTTGACCCCCAGAGGTAGCCTAAATGGCGATAATTCGCCTAATCTGGCACCACTGCTGGTCGCAAAAATATGTGCATTGCTAGTTTGGAAAAAAATCACGATTTTTTCAGTCAGAATTTTTTGGATTTTTATTGATTATTTTGATTTTTATTCAGTTTTGCGATCATTGCTTTAGTTTTTCTTGGAAAGCATTTTTATTTAGGTAGAATTGATGTATAGTGCTGGCAACACCGCAAAAAAGTAAAATGTCACATAGACCAAAAAAATGTTTAGAGGTTATGTCATGTCAAGTTAGTTCAAGATTGTTATTGTTTTTATTTATTCTCGACACTCTTTCTATTCAAGTAACTAACTTAGTAACTTTCAAAACATGAGTGCTGTAAGAAAAAAAGACCCTATTTGGGATAGATATCTCGAAATTTCCAACGCCCTCGGAGACAAAACTGGGTGCAGGACCCAGTGCAAGAAATGTGGAAAAGAAATGAAAGGGTTGGTACAAAGAATGAAAGAGCATCAGAAAAACTGTTTATATGAACAAGGTAAAAGACTTCAAAACTAATTAGACTTCCTTTCAATAATGTTTGAGTTTTTAAATAATGAATAATTCGTATTGCACTGTTTTCACTTAAATGTGCTATTGGTGTGCTGCTGTATATGTGGCCTTGACTTTTTTGCACTAAAGACATTTATCAAAATTTTTTTTAGATCTAACGAAGAAAATTTACCGTCGACCTCAGGCCAAGGTCAAGGCGCCAATAGAGGCAGAGGTGCTGAGGATCCGTAAGTATCTATATCTGTAATCACTTACTATGGCCCTTTTTAGTGTTTGTTGCGTATGTGTTTAAGTAACAGGTACGAAGGTGAGCTGTATAATTATTTTGTTTTTGCAGGGAAGCACTTCTTACGGTCAGAGCCGCCCGACAAGTTTCGCAAAGACATTTTGCGAACTTGTCGGCGGCCGACAAAAAGGAGCTGCAGCGAGTGCTCCTTCCCGACGCGCCTCCGCGCAAGCGACGTACTTTTTAAGTACCTACCTTTTTTGTATTTTACCTTTATTTGAATGTGCTAGATCAACATGTAATTACTGATTTTTCTGTATAGAAATGCTTCTCCTGAGAGGGAGCTGCCGGAAGTAGTGGATCCACTACAGCCATCTACTTCGTGGCAACCTACGCCGCCTCTACAAGTGCCGGCTGACGTCGAGTTTGGTAAATATCATATTATTATTGCGTGCCCACTGCCACTGCAGTGCGCCAAACTTGTAATATTACTAACATTTATCATTTTTATACAGTTAACGAGGAGATCGGAGACAGCTCCAGGGACCCGACGCCGCCTCTACAAGTGCCGGCTGACGTCGAGTTTGGTAAATATCATATTATTATTGCGTGCCCACTGCCACTGCAGTGCGCCAAACTTGTAATATTACTAACATTTATCATTTTTATACAGTTAACGAGGAGATCGGAGACAGCTCCAGGGACCCGACGCCGCCTCTACAAGTGCCGGCTGACGTCGAGTTTGGTAAATATCATATTATTATTGCGTGCCCACTGCCACTGCAGTAATATTCAGCAAACTTGTAATATTACTAACATTTATCATTTTTATACAGTTAACGAGGAGATCGGAGACAGCTCCAGGGACCCGACGCCGCCTCTACAAGTGCCGGCTGACGTCGTGTTTGGTAAATATCATATTATTATTGCGTGCCCACTGCCACTGCAGTAATATTCAGCAAACTTGTAATATTACTAACATTTATCATTTTTATACAGTTAACAACGAGGAAATTGGCGACAGGTCCAGGGACCCGACGCCGCCTCTACAAGTGCCGGCTGACGTCGAGTTTGGTAAATATCATATTATTATTGCGTGCCCACTGTCACTGCAGTGCGCCAAACTTGTAATATTACTAACATTTATCATTTTTATACAGTTAACAACGAGGAGATTGGCGACAGGTCCAGGGACTCGACGCCGCCTCTACAAGTGCCGGCTGACGTCGAGTTTGGTAAATATCATATTATTATTGCGTGCCCACTGCCACTTCAGTGCGCCAAACTTGTAATATTACTAACATTTATCATTTTTATACAGTTAACAACGAGGAGATCGGAGACAGCGACGCGTCCGTTGGTACGGCAGAGGCGGACACGGTACCCAACTCGCTCAGTTCTCTAGACTCATTGGTTTTCCGCCGGTCAACCACTGAAAACTGGGCGAATGTATGCCGTACGCCCCGAAAAAGCGAGTATTTTAACAAGGAGATCACAGACTCTGATGCTTCTTCTTCTTCGAAAAAATTTAATTTGTCTTACTTAAGAATTAATTCAGCAAAATATACCTTTATGTTTATCATACTTAATACTTGCTATGCCCTTACAGGGTGTGCATGAGATGTACTACCTTACCTTTTACCAACTTTCAAACCACACATGTAATGCAATAAATGATTTGATTTGATTTGAATGACACTGCTAACGACCAGGCTCTACAAAATCTTTTACCTGACGAAGACTGTTTCACTTTTAATTGGAATAAGGACAGGACGACGTTCAAGTCGCCGGGAGCCATTTACTGGCACACCTGGACCGACTTTTGACGTGACAGAAAACTCTACTCCGACTGACATATTTGACAAGATGTTTGACGTGGAGTTTATTGACAGAATTTATAAAAAAACTCGTTTTTTTATAAATTCTGGGATGAACAATGAAAAAATATAACATTAAATGTTTTGAAAGACGTGGAAGTGGCAGAATTAATAAAAAACACAAAATTATTTTACCCGAGTATTAAAACTGCCCTTTCTATTTTATTGGCCCAACCATGTACGACTTGAACAATCGAGAGGTCATTCAGCACATTACGACGTGTGAAGACGTGTCTTCGTTCAACCATGAGCGAAAATCGTTTGAGCGGTCTCTGTATGCTCAGTGTCAACAAGTTGAGGATCGCTGAGGCAAAAAGTTAATTGGAAGACGAAGTGCTAAAGAGGTTCTGCCAGAACTCACGCCGGCTTCTATTGAAGTAAATAAATAAACAACGTATCTATAATAATACCTATGTGTACTTGTTTTCTTTCTGTTCCTGTAGTATACTATCTGTTGAGTGAAACAAACAGAAGCTAGTTTGACACTGGTTTATTTTTTCTTAATAGGGTAAATCTATGGTACAAAAAAGTATGTAAAAGGCTTATAAAAAAAGGTGGTCGTGAACATGGCCCCCGGCGGTGTAAGCACCAGGTTTAGGGTGAAACGACCAGCTTGGCCAATTTTTTTACGGGCCTACGCAGGACACCCCCTTTAGTTTGAACATCCACTACCCTAACTATCCGGTCCTTGCCGGGGTAGGTAGCAACGATGCGGCCACGTGGCCAGCAACGCCTGGGTAGAGTCCAGTCCACTATGACCACCAGATCGCCAATGATGAAGCTCGCCGAAGCCGTCGGTAAAGAGCGGCGAGGGACTAGGCTGGGCAGGTATTCTTCGGTGAAGCGCTGCCAAAAATGGTCGGCCAGACGCTGTGCCACCAGGATCATTAGGAAAGTGCAAAGTTTCACAAAACTTATTGGGTTATAAGATGAAAAGAGGAAATGGAACTGTTCTATACAAGCTTAGCTACTGGACTGATATGACATTTCTTATGGATATTAAATCAAGAAAGATGATCATTACTGAAGACTTCATAAAAAATAGACACTGTAGTATTGATATTAAATGTGACACTCTAAAATTGTACATAAACTCCTCCTGCACTATGAGCAAGGCCATTATCAACACAGGTAATCATGATTCTTTCTTTAATTTGCTCAATAAAACAGAATCAGAA